GTTTCCCTTAGAATCGACGTTTATTTGTGTCTGTGTGTTTTTGTTCCTCCTGATTATTGCTCTGGTTCACAAACGGCGAACACATCCGTATCCGCGCCCTCGCGGTCTGGATTCCAGGGCGCGATCCCGCGGATACGCGGTCGCACGGATACGTGCCTCGCGGGGCATCCGCGAGAAAACGCCCCGTATCCGCAGGGTCGCGGCCCAGGGGCCCAGCCCGCGAGGACGCGAATACGGATATGTTTTTCACCAACGAATGGTTCGAATTCCCTGACCCCTAATACGATCTCTCTCGCACGCGCCCGAGCGCGACAGATGCCGCCGCAGTCGTCGTCGCTGGTGTCGTCGTCGCCGCCGTCGGTTCTGTCGTCGTCGCGGCCGCTGTTGTCGTCATCCCTGTCTTCGTTGTCGTCGTTTCCGTCGTCGCCCTCGTTGTGTTCGTCACCCTGGCCTGTCCACGATGTCGTCGTCGCCACCGCCGCCGCCATCGACTTTGTCTGCGTCGTCGCCCTCGTGGTCGTACGTAAACGGACCCCTGGGTCTCTCACGGAACGCGTCCCGACCAGGACTGTGAGGCGAATCCAGCCGCGGCGGCGCGGGCCCAGACACTGGGCTCTGACTGACATCGCATCGACTCGGAGCCGTCAGTGGCCAACATCTGCTACGAGTCTTGCACCCGCCATGGACACCGAGCCTGATCGAGGCCAGGAAGGGCATTTTGTCTCGGAAGATGGAGGCCGTCCCGGAATGCCCTGGTCTGGTCCTGTGGCCCAACGGAGTGCGCCCTGCCGGATCACAGAGACCGCGCCGATAAATCGGGAGTCAGTGGGCGTTCCCTGTCCCGACGAGCTGCTTCGAATGGGGTGTTGCCTCGCACGGTGGCCAGAAAAGAATAGTGGAGCGCCGTGTTTTTCTCGCCATTGCATCCCCATCCTCTTCAGAGAGCAGCTGACGCTGTCAAGCGAAGCACGCAGGTGCAACCTGCGAGGTTAAGAGACTACGCTAATTGGCATCCACATCCATAAAAAGCCCCCTACGCATTGCACACGCATGCGGAGCGGTCAAGTCATTGTGGTGGGCAGCAAAGCCTGCTCGCTCCAGAGCTTCGAGTACACATTCAATGTTTACCAGCGTGGGCCAAAACTGTGAGTTGTTTGCAATCCGGATGTGCAAACTACGTGGTACTATATGTGTGCTGTAAGCTATGCGGTGTGCGCTATTTGGTGCAAGCTATGTGGTGCAAGCTGTGTAACGAAAATTGGGTTATGTAAGCTATGTGGTGTGAGCTAGGCGGTCTAAGATAGATGGTGTGAGCTATGTTGTACAAGCTATGTTGTGTCAGATATGCGGTGCTAGCTAGGTGGTCTAAGCCAAGTGGGGAAAGCTGTGCTGCCAGCTACGTGGAGCAACCTGTGCGGGACCAGCCATGTGGTGAAAGCTGTGCGGCGCAAGACGTGCCGTGCAAGCTGTGCGGTCCACAGGCCAGCCGGTGCAGGCTGCGCGGTGCAGGCCAGAAAGACTGCAAGCCGCGTGGCAGAAGCCACGAAAGCCGTGTGGCGCGAGCCCACGCAGCGGCCACGGCCCACGCGCCCACGGGCGGGCACCGGGCGGAACCCCAGCCCGCCCGCCGAGCACACGGGGGCGCCCGCGGGGCGCCCCCGGGCCAGGCAGGTGGCGCACCCCCGGCCCGCCCCGCCAGCACGAGGGGCGCGCACGCACGAGGCGCGCCACGGCCGGGCAGGCGGCGAAGCCCTGGCCCGCTCAGCCAATGGCCGGCAGGCCGCTGGGGCGTCAGCGCCGTTTCCGGGGCCGGGTCCCAATGCGCTCGGCCTGCGCGCTGGATCCGACCACAGCAATCCTCGCGACCCCCCTGGGCGAGAAGGTCTTGTCTCGGGTCTGCTCTTGCCGGCGATTGGGCGGCTCAGGCTTGCTTTTACATGCGAGCATTAAACCCTCCCCGTCGCCCCAGAACCACAGATCGCGCTCGCTGCCCCTCAGCGAGCTTCAACCAATGACGTAGAAGAGAAGTATATATATATATATATATATATTAGACTGAGAAAGAGAAGACCCAACAAAAACATATGGAGAAAATGCACTTACGCTCCCTGCTGGCTCCAGGACCTGGCGCTCTCCCTTTGTGATGCTCGCGCCCCTCCGCCGAAAGATTTGGAAAAGCATTGGCCAACACCTCGCAAGGCAAGGTTCCCCCGCGACGCAGAGCCTCCCAAGACGGCCCCAGCTGCCTGCCTGGGAGCGCGAGCGAGCGCACGGCCGCAGTGCAGGCGTCGGGCAGCCGATGGTGCGCACCCGTCGGCCGCCTGATGCCTCACCGTCCCCCCTCCTCCTCCTCCCCCTCCCTCCTCCTCCTCCTCCTCCTCCTCCTCCTCCTCCTCCTCCTCCTCCTCCTCCCCCTCCCCCTCCTCCTCCCCCCCCCTCCTCCGCTATTTTCCGCTATTTGACGCGCCGTAAGGGTCACAGCCCTGAAGCGCAGCGCGGCGGCCGTCGGCCGCCGACAGAGGGGGGGTGAGGGAGGCCCGTTTCAACCCTGGACAGCGAAGGCCTGGAGGAAAGGGGAAGGGAAAAAGACGGGCCCGTTGGGCCCAACACCGGTCGGCGAAGGGCCCGAGGGGGCGAGGGCCCGCGGGGCCCTGGCCTTTGGCTCGGCGAGGGCCCACCCGCCTCGGTGGGACCTAGCTGAGCTCGTCCGCGTGGTCGGGGGCGGCGGGGCCCTCAGGTCGCGTCGAGGGCGGCGACCCCGCCCGCCCCTGGCCTCCGTGATGCGCTCCCTCTGGTCCAGCGCGAGGTGCTCCGCGTCGCGCGTGCGCCCGCGGTGTGCACCTGCCGGTCCAGCGCCTGGAGCTCTGCGTTGCCGCAAGTCTGCGGGGCTCCGCTCCTGGCCTCCCAGCTGCACGCCAGCTGGCCAAGCGCGCGGAGCTCCGCGTTGCCGCCGGCCTCCATGATGCGCTCCCTCTGGCCCAGCGCGAGGTACTCCGCGTCGCCCCTCGTCGCCGGGTGCACCTGCTGGTCCAGCGCCAGGAGCTCTGTGTTGCCGCCGGTCTGCGGGAGCTTCAGCGCTTGGCCTCCCAGCTGTGCGCCAGCTGGCCCAGCGCACGGAGCTCCGCGTTGCCGTCGGCCTCCATCGCCTGGCCCCCAGCGCGAGGGGCTCCATGGTGCCGTCGGCCTCCGCGATGGCCCCCAGCTCGAGGAGCTCCGCGATGCCGTCGGCTTCCGCATTTTCTCCTTCTGGCCCAGCGCGAGGCGCTCCGCGTCGCGGTCGGCCTCCTCGATGTGCCAGTGAGCCTGCCTCGTTGCTGGTGGGCTCTTCGTCTTGTCACAGTCACCTTGGTCATGAACTGGTTGACTGCGTTGGGCTCTTCTCCTGGTACGGGTCTCAGCCGATGAAGTAGTTGTCGTGCTGGTTAAGGTCGATGGGGGTCGGCTTGTTGCTGGTAGGTGGAATAGATTGCGGGCGCACTCTGGCCTCCATGCACCGACTTCAAGCAGGGTTCATGGCGGCCCTGCCTCGTCCCGCTATGGCTAGGGGTCACGGTGCCCTCGGTGGGGGCGAACCCCAGGCCAAGTGATTCTTCTGCTGTCGATGAGGAAGGTCAACGCTGCCCTATGCTACGCCCTTGGGCGCTCGGGAGCTCCGTCTCCGCCATGGGGATGGTGGGGGTGGCGAGCTAGGGCGGACCGCGGGGGCGCGGGCAGTACTCGTCCTGCCCCCCCCCTGCCCCTCACCATCCCCCCTGGTGGGCGCGGGCAGTCCTCGTCCT